AGTAAGAGGAAAAATGTATTAGTAATGTCCGCTAGAAGTGTAATTTTTTTTTTTTCTTACGGGGGCGCGCTCGTTTCCTCTGGGGCGGGCGCAAGGACCAGTCGAGTCGCCGGGTCCAGGGGAAAGGGTCGCTGATTTATTCGATCCGGGGGAAATCCCTCGACGACCGGTCACCTACTCCGGGCATGCGCGTCCTCGAGGAACGCCGACGCGGCGTCTCGTGCGGTGGACAGCAAAATGGCTCCCGAGAACCACTCGAAAGCTTATGCGCCCGTCGCCCTGCCGCACGCGATTCCGTAATAAGCCCCGCTTCCCACACGCGCGTGCGTGTTGGGACGTAAGGACGGTACGAGCGAGTCTCGCGGTGGTCCGGCCCTATTCGTGAGCGCGGGCGGCAAGAGAGTGTGGGATCGGATGCATTACCGAGCCGAAGGCTCGGCGCGATCGAACCGGTCGTTTCCGAGATGCGCGCGATGGACGCCGCGATTGGCGCGCCATCTTTCTTCGCCACGAAGGGGAGGCGGCGTCCGAGCGTCGGCCCGACGTAAACGACGCCGCGGTTAGACCGCCTCGAATTGCTAGAGGTAATTCGCGGTCTCTCTTTTTGTCCCATTTCCAGCCATTTTCATAGCTACATGCGTGCTTCTAGATGTCGCGAGAAAGTGAGGTTAGGTTCGATGTCTGTTAGAGGGACTGACTCATCCCTTTTCCAGATAAATCTGAGATGTAACAAATAACGTAGAATTCTCTTCTTTCTCAGGTTAAGTAGAGACGTTGCGGCTAGAACGCTTAAAATGGATAAAGGTAATTCGCGGTTTCTCTTTTTGTCCCATTTTCTAGCCATTTTCCTGGTTCCAAGCAATGCTTCTAGGTGTCGCGAGGAAGTGAGGTTAGGCTCGATGCCTGTTTGAGGGACTGGCTTGTCCATCTTCCAGATGAAAATAGGATGTAATAAATACCATAGGACTATTTTTTTATTCTCAAAGTTAAGCAGAGACGTCGCGGCTAAGAACGATTAACACTAAACCTACCACCGACGGGTCAAATTGATAGTTTTAAATGGTATTTGTAATGGGGGTATAAATCGTCGGTAGGTTCAGTGTTAAATGGATACAGGTAATTCGTGGTCTCTTGTTTTATTCCATTTCATGCCATTTTAAAATGTTTCACGTGTGGTTTCTTCGTGAGGGTGAAGCGAGGTTACGTTCACTTCTGTCTCAAGCAACCAACGGGACCTGACGAGCAACGTAAAATCCTCTATTTTGTCTCGAAATTGATCAATCCTCTCCATTCCTCTAGATCAGCCGTGGTTCCTGAGTAGCAGCGATGAGGACACAGCGAAACGTTAACATGGCGCTGCTGTTTCTCCCAGCAGAAAATAAGAGAGAGCCAAATGGATGATACCGACAACAAGGGCAGACAGAGGCGTCAGGACCCAGCTCCTTCAAATAAGCGCATGTATCTTAATTTATCGAATCCTATATTTTTTTTCAATTTATCAATCCTTTTCGTTCCTCCAAATTAGGTTTCTTCCCGCACACCAGCACAGCGTTAAGAATAGAGCAAAATATCAACATGGCACTGATATTTCTCCCAGCAGAGAAGAAGAAAGAGAAAAACGGATGATGCCGACGACGGAGCCAGACAGTGGCGCCAGGACCCGAGTACACAAGGTGCTCCTTCGAATGAGAGCAGCTGTGTTAATTCATCGATCCCTGTCCTCAGGTCGTCCTTACTCTACTCGGTCCATCGCCTCGTCCGGTGTTTGCTCGGCGCGCCACTTTGAGCTCGTCGTTACTTTCTGCCGTTTCTGTGGTCGTGTGGTCGCATAAGCCCGACCAAAGTCCTGTGGTCCTCCGGGTGCACGGCACGGCTCAGGACGCGCTCGAGTGGTGCGGAAGGACTCTATTATGGAGTCCCCTTTTCCGTTGGCAGGGCTTTCCCGACAAAGGGATTTTTCTAAGCCTCGGGGAGTATCGAGGGTCGGAGTCAAGCGGGGGCTCTTAGCCGATATTTGCACTAATTTCCTTGTTTTCCCGCCCTAGGGAAACTGCCCCAAAGCCCGGAGAAAGGGGTAAGATCCGGGACAACCACTTCACCCTAGTGATGAACAAAATTGATCCTAGTTCCTATCATCTTGACCTAATCAATTCACGATGGCACCTTCTGCAAGACCAACACCAAAACCCCTATGTTGCTCATCGGTACTTTGCTCATGATGCAAATCGGGAAGAGTTTCTGCGACAGGAAGATGACGAAAGGGATCAGCGAGATGAATCGACAGGATACCGATTGATCTCTTTTCCGTGATCCTCAAGATTAAGACCACGGATCCGCGAAATGGGACCCGCGTTCCAGGCGTTCCCTGTTTCGACAACAACACCTCACCAGGAGTTCCTTGCATTCCGGCGTGCCCAAGGACAGGCAGCTCCCTCAGGAGCCAAGAAACGGAGCCCCAAGGAAGTCAAGCCGAACTCGAGGGGGTCACTTGAGGATTCGCGCTAACGAGGAGAAGACGTCGCCGAATGTGCCGGAGATCCGGTCGCGGGGTCGCTCGGCGTCGCCGGAGACCCAGGGTTCTGGAGGGCGACGTACCAGGTGAAAGAGGGCCGTTTATTAGCCGTAAAAGGGGTTCCCGGGTCTCTCAGGGGCATTTTCTGGGCTCGTGCACAAACTGGATCGGACCGTGGAGATCCGGGGCCACGAGAGTCCTTAAAGGCAGAAGCTCCTCTCCGTGGCTCCTCTCCCGTCTCCTGCGTCCCCCGACCACAATGTAGGTGAACCATCGGCCCCGTGGCCACATTACCGTTCTCGAGGAGAGACGCCGAAAGACCGAGCCGGAGACCGGCCCGCCACGGGAAGAAGAAAAGAGAGAGAGAGAGAGAGAGAAAGAGAGACAGGAGGGGGTAGAAAAAGAGTGGCCTGACAAAAGGTGGGCTCCACCACGCACTGCACGGCAGCAGCATTGACATCGGGGGCCCCGGATAAGGAGGACTAGATTTCACGAGCCAGCGATGCAGGATCCTTCAAAGGGCGCCGACGCAGCCGCAAAAAGGATTCGCAAAAAAAAGGACCCGGCCCGAGGGAGATGGGGATGGAGGGAGAGAGAGGACCGCGGGGGAGGGGCGGATCGAGAGAGGAAATGGTGGGGACGAGGAGAGGAGGAGGCAGAGAAAAAATGAGGAGCCGGGTTTCCAGCAGTTGGGAGTTACGTGGCGGCCGACCGAGATCTCCAGGACCCCTCCGGGCCGATGGGGAGCCTAATAGCGGGGCACCTACTTGACGGCGAAATCCGCGAGATAACTTAATCCCGGATTACCCGAGACTCGGGTGCCTCCAGCCCTCACGGCCGATCCGCTACGGAAATCCGATCGGCCGCAACCGCTCCCTACGGCCCCCAAAATTATGGGACGTGGAGTCGGACTACAGTCCCACGTTCCGATGATGCGACAACTATATACAACCGTACCGCATTGTCGTCACTCTCTGACAGGATTCGGATACCGGAAAGAAGATATAAAATGAGAAATAAATAAGTCTAGATTAAATATCTCGAGATGATCGTTGCAAATCGTGTGATCTTCATTCGTTTAGAACTTAGACCCCAAATTATGGGACGTGGAGTTAGACTCCAGTTCCGTGTTCGAATGATGTAAGCTTGTACTGCTACGGTAGTCACTTTGGGTATCGGGAAGAAGAAATGAAGTAAGAGATAAATATGGCTTCCTAAAATATTTCGAGATAATCGCTTTAAATTGTGCGCTCTTTGGCGATTTGTTTCGGATAGTACCTACAAAGCCATTGCTGGACCGATACTCGCCGATGATCAGCAGCTAATCGCCAAGGATAATGGTAGGGTGGTTATCTAATTATCCCGCCGAAGAAATCCGTGGGATAACTTAATTTCGATTTATCCAGGCGAGAAGCAAACGTTCAGTGGGAGCGATCCGTTCATGATTTCCAATCTTTCAAAAGAACGCGGGCGTTAATTAAAAATAAATACCCCTCACATACGCGACGACGTGTGAAAATCCGCGACAGATAATCCCGGTCGTACGTTCTGATCAAAATGATTGCTATCAAAGTATAACTCTCCAGTCTACGAAATATGCCAGACGACTCGATCCCGAATGTGTTGGGTGATGGTTATCCCGAAGCTTGGGTGGACCTAGACAGTCACCTGAATGTACCGGTGCTAATTGGTCAGTCCTCGACCCGATGGATCGCGATTCCGATTGGAACGACAAAACGACGAGAAGTCTATCGACTCGAGTAGATCAGAGACCGATCGATCTGGACCAGAACCGAGATCGGAGTCTGATCCGATCCCAGATTTCAGGGCATTTCGCGTTCACAACCTCAAAATCACGACAACTGACCTACCAGCTTTTTAGTTAGGCTCTAATTCTCGATAATTAATAATTAATTATTAATGAAAAGACGAAAGCATTCGTGGTCCAATAACGAAGGGACAGAAGATTGTTGAAACCTTGAGAATTTTTCGAATTTTTAAGCATTATGCCTTCATACAAACTTTCGAGAAAAGCTTGGCTAGGATGGTCAATCGAACTTTGTGGCTTTTGAAGTCTGAACGATCTATCGACTTGAGTAGATCGAAGGCTGATCGATCTGAATCAAGACTGAGACCGAAGTCCGATCTCATCCTAGATTATAGGGACGTTTCCCATTCACAACCTCGAAATCAAGACAAGCGACCTACCAGCTTTTTAGTTATGCTCTAATTCTCGACAATTAATTATAAATTATTACTAATAAGACGAACGCATTCATGGTCCGAGGGCCAAGCTCCAGCCAATGACATAGGGACAGAAAATTGTTGAAACCTTGAGAGTTCTACCGTTTTTGAAGCATCATGTTTTCATAAAAATTGTCAGAAAGTTTCAACCAGGGTTGTTAATTAGACTTTGAGGCTTCTAGAGTCCCGGCTCTCGGAGTGGCCTTAAGTGCTAATAAGTAATTGGTTGGTTGGCGTTACGTACAGTACTTACAAAGCCGTGCTTGTCGCTGATGTTGTTGGTGAGCTTGAGCTTGTGAAAGCTGACGACCTTCTGCATCCATTGCTCGCCACTCGTTGGGGAATCCGGATGTATGTACATCCTCTTCGGCATTTCCGGGTCCGCTTTTCCGGCGACCATCCACCTACTGCTCCCAAAAACGTGAAGAAAAAACCAAGTCAGAACTCACACCATAGATTTTCAACAAATTTCGGGTGTTACTAGTCGTCACCGTTCCTCCTCCTTCGGTGCTCAAAGGAGAAGGAAGAGATTTAGATGAAAAACTAGAATATTCACGTCCAGCCGAGGAACCCTAAACCTGTAATTATGTGCTAAGAAAAAAAATGATATTCAACCAAAGAAATATTTTGTTAATCCGAAGAATAATTATTTGACTCAAACTCTAATAAATTGGAGGCAACGTTTCTTTGGAATCATGACAATTTATTTCAGTCTATTCGAATGTTTAAAATTTTATTATAGGATAAAAATGACTTAGAAAAATCTGAAAAAAATTAAAACAACTGCGGAAATCATTTCTACTCATGTATCTCAGTCCCAGGCTACAAGAAATTGTTAAATACGGAGATTTTAATTCTTACAGATTTAACATGCCCAAACTTGGCGTAAAGAACTCGGTGGCGTTTCACGCATACACATGGCTTCGCACATACGTATATGTACGTATGCAAGTGTGTATATTTGGCGCACAACTCTACCGAGTGTCCTGATTAAATAATTAGTCTCTGAATTAACAAAATATTTCTTTTGTGCTATTTTTTTTCTCTCCGTGTGCAAAATGATTCGACGAGTTTATATCGATCATTTTTGATAATTAATTACGCCATTATTTTCTGCCATTCGTTGTTAATCCTCGGCCGGGCACGAAATTCCAGTTTTCTAAAAACGGAGATGCTTCTCCGAGGTCATTTTCCGATTTTTTTTTTCAATTAAATATTCGAAATGTTAGAAAAATCTCTCAAGAGACGCATCTCCGGTCGCGAACGTGAAGGCTTGCGATCCCCATACAAGTCGAAATAACTTCCCACTTCCACCTATCGGTTTATCTCTCGCGTTGCATAAATCAAGAGAAAAATTAGCGACGCGGACAAGCTTATAAAAAGATCGGTGGCTCGTTAAAAAAAGAATTTCGCCATGTAGAAACGGTCTATACCGCCGATTACTGACTGACCATCAATGACCACCATTCTCGTGAACGTTAATCAGGGAAAAAGTGTAATTTAAATAAACAATTAAACTATTAAACGTTTCAAAAAGTGCAGATGCATCTGCAGTGGAACTTCCAGAATTGCGTACTGCATATATAGTACTCTAATATTGCAGTAACAGCTTTTCAAAGTAAGCACTGCTAAAAATGACTGCAATAAATTCATTGGCCATGTATTGAATGCAATATTCAAACACTGTAGACAAATTGAATATAATAAACACATTCAACATATGTACGTACTGAGAAAAAAATTTCATTGGACCATAGAATTACTTCTTTGAACACTATCAAACGAATATGTTTGTTAATTCAAAGAGTAATTATTTCACTCAAATAAACTCGAATAAATTGGATGGAACATTTATTCGGAAATTTATTTGAATCAACTAATTCTTCTTTAAATTAACAAAATATTTTGTTAGTACTATTCAAAGAAATATTTCTTTGGTTCAATTATATTTCTCTCTCAGTGTGGACTGAATGACTCTACAGACTGTTTTAAATTTCCCATAAAACGTTAAAAAACAAACGTTAAATATGTAACTGTCACGTAACTTTGCACAGTGCAAAATTGCAAATGTGTAAAATATAGAATGCATTTTTAACAGTGAAATCCTCGAGTGTTCTCGTTCGGGCAATGGCGATCAGCTGAGATAAGGTTAGCACTGAGTCGTTCGCCAATTACCAGAAGAAGCAGACAACGGGTTACTCGGTCATACAATCGACAGAGTACCGATCTTTTTGCAGGCCTTCGGCGGGAGAGCAGCCAAGGAATCAAGACGTCGGCCGATTCCGGACGCGGATCTGATCCGCAGCCTCGCGGAAACGCGCCTATTTTCCCGGAAAATCCTGGGAATGGACGTAGGATATAACGACCATGAAAGTATGGAACTGGCCTAAGAAATTTTATTCTGTTGCTATACTTACTTTACATTATTATACTTGAAATGCACGCAACAGAAAATATGTGACGAATCAATTTTTTTTTCACATTTTTCATCATTGTCACAATTTCACCATGAATATCTTTAATAATTTTCACATTTGCATAGTGAATAATTTTGGTAATTCTCATGGTTTCATAAAGAATACTTTTCATGATTTTAAAAATTTCATAATGATTACTTTTTTATAGCTTCCATAGTTCATAATTAATATTTCTGATAATTTCCATGGTTTCAACATTAATATATTTTATATAATTTTAAAGATTTCATAGTTAGTGTTTTCGATCATTTTCGTTATTTCATCATCAATATTTTTTATAATTTTCAACATTTCATCATTTCCGAAACAAAACTTGAAGGAAGCTAAGAAATTAGTTCCAAATCATGAATTATCATGGATCTTAACTTGACAATCTTAAGAATCATCCTACGTCCATGTCGCTTCCGCGATTCCCTGAATCGCGCCGACCCTGAATTACTTTCGACGAGTATGAGGAATTGTTCGCAGCGCACGCTCCACACACGGGGCGGAGTACACAGTGCGATCTGACAATGAGTCGATCGTCGATCGGAACTGTCGCGTCCGTCATCTTTTTTTATTTTATTTTTTTTATGTCAACTCCCGAGATGGAAGGTCGCTGGCTCGAGCCATCGACCGACCGTTCATTCGACCACGGTTGTACACACAAATCCTAAAACTCCTCCTATGGGGGACAATCTCTTAATAATGGCGATTTTTATCTGACTTTCGACTACCAAAGTTTCCGCAATAGGATAAGGTACCATTGTTCACAAAAATAGACAGACATATAAGTAATTTTCCTTTCTTATCATGCATTACCTAACCATGAACCGGGCATGGCGAATTAACGAGTCGTTAAATAAAAAATACTGCGACATAGCACCTCGGTCAAAAATACCGATTCAGAAGATCCTTGAAGATGGTCATTAGAGGTTATGTTCGACGGTGCTTTGCCCTATCGCAACGCTTGATAAAAAATGGCGTCGATGTCGCCCCTCATCGCAAGAATTTTGTTGTTTCAAGAACCGGGTGCCCGAGTCAAGATTTTAGCCCTATGTAGAACCTATACAACCTAAGTCAGCCATTTTGGCCCCTATTTCAATGTTCAAGTCCTTGTTCCGATTTCGAACCTCCTACTTAATAAGAATTAAGCCCTACTCTATACCTACGTGTAGAAGAGATGCAAATTTCTGCCACTTTTAAGGTCTAGGATTGTACACTGAAAAATAATGTTCATTGAACCTGAGAAATATTTCTTCGCATGGTCCCAATGAAATATTCTTACAAGAATTTTACTAAAATAAAAGCCAATTATTTCTTCGGAATTATGACAACTTATTTCAGCTAAATAATTTCACGTCGAGATAAAGATTTTTTTGGCACTCTTCCAAGAAATATTTCTTTGATTCTTTTTTTAACAGAGGTGTTAACCTTCTTTAGTTATCTCGGAATTTATTTATGGAATCAATTAGAGGTTCCAAGTGGAATTAAAATTTCGACTCGGGTGTACAACCGTGGTTTCGATTATTCGGTCTCTTGGGTAGGGACGCTCCGCGTCTTATGGGATCGTTTCGCGGTGTAATAATCACCTGTTGTGAAACTTATATCGGCACTCGTCTGAGGCCACGATGTCCATCAGGAGAATGTAGCTAGCCTGCCTGTCTAATCCGGACACCCTCACTTTATACGCGGGAAACATGCGTCTGCGAACAATTTGCAATCGCAAAATGCAACACGTTAGTTCTTTCTTACGCCCACTTCCGGTGCGTTTCGAGGGTGGTCGCCATATTGGACCGGTAGCGATCGCAGCGTCGAATTTTGCTCGAATTACGGCAATGTTCGTCCCTTTTCTTCTTCTACTATCGATCAAAAATATACATGACATCCTCTCAAAAGAAAAAAAAAACTACAAAAATGACGATCCTTGGATTTGACTATAAAATATTTGCCACCAAGGACGTCGTGTCTTGTGAATTTTTACCATGTTAGTTCCACTCGAAATATTTAAGATTTATAAAAGGGTCATATTACGTATAAAAAACGTCAAAAGATTTATAAATCTTTTCTCCAAACTGGGTATCTCGAATCATTTCAAAAACTTCCGCACGTGATTATGGAGACCCTAAGGAAGAACGCGATGTTCATGAAATTTCATTTTTCCTAAAAATATGTGACTTTGTTTCCAGTCTGGGATAAAGAAAAAAAATTTCTGTCTGAAAAATGAAACTTTACGAGCATCGCGTTTTTCCTTAGGGCCTCCAAAATCACGCGTTGATGTTTTAAATAATTCGGTGCGCCCAATTTGAAGAATAGTTTTATCGATATTTCGACGTTTAGATATATATAGAACGATAAAATTCAGACCATCTTAAACATAGATCTCAAGAAAAATGGAGGTCGAGAAAATCCTCGAGAGTAGCTTGGAGCACATGGGAGAAATTGCAAAAAAAGATTAAATAATAGGAGGGAAATTCGAAAAAGGAAGAACACAGTCCTAAAACGAGCAGCGAGTATGGTTTTCCAGTTTCGCTTTCAGTCCTTCTCATCCAGAATGTCTACCTGTTGTGGAACTTGTATCTGTAGTCGTCGGCGGCCACGATGTCCAGCAGGAGGATGTACTTGGCCTTCGCGTCCAGACCGGAAACTCTGAACTTCATCTGAGGAAACATCTGCCTAGACCCCCGATCAACATGTACACTCCGGTTAGTCTTAACGGCCATTTAACGGCTTAAAACAAACTGGCAACAAGATACTACTTATAGCTAAATACCCCCAAGTCGTTCCCAAAGTAACTCGATTGTCTACCGCTCTTCACGTTTGAATGAATAATTAAGAGCTGATTAGTCCGCGACACCTCGAGTAACGGACGCCATCTTGGACGCGCCTCGCCTCTCTCGGCACAAGGTCCAAGAGTCGAGTATTTCGGGAAGCGATTACTCCATTAGCGAGTGTAGAGCTCGAAAATCGATGCGGAGAGTTTCCTGGCACTTTTCCTGCTACTTTTTCTGGCGACCAGCGCCGGTAGTCGGTTACTTTGGAATCGTTTTCTGTGCGTTTCGTCGACGCTCGAAAAATTCAAGATGGCGCCTGGTCGCGCCATCCGGAGGGACGCTAACGCGATCGCAGCCACCCCAGGAATCCCGGTAACGCTGAAATAGAAACGTGCACGAGTCAATCGACCCCGCTGTCAGCCGACCAAAGACGAGGGAGGGACGGCCGTGTTCCCGGAGAAAGCTGAAATAAAAACCAGATCTCGCTCCCGGCCAGAAATGCGAAGCCATCTTGAAGCATCCGCGGACTGGTCGCTGGCCGGCTCGGCGTGTCGGCCTCGGGTGAACAAGTACACGAGGAAAAAGCACTCGCCCGGCTACCTTCACGGCGGAATAATATCGAGAAAAGTTACCACACGATCGAGATCAAACGGCCGCGTTGCGCCGGGCCTAATAAACACAGGAAAATATCGGGCCGCCATGACAGCCCGCGGCAGGGAAATTAGGTCCACGAGTGCGAAACGATAAGTGTCGAGCAAGCACGATGCCTACCAGCAAGAAATTTCCCTCCTTGACATTTACTGATTCTGCAATTTTTCGTCATCCCTGGAGGGATTTAAGGTGATGTGAAAGTGTGATATATACATAAGAAAAAGTCCAAATATTTATAAAACTTTTCTCCAAACTGGGTGCACCGAATAATCTCAAACTTTAACACGTGATTATGGAGGTTCTAATGAAGGTCTTGAAACTCGCGAGATTTCAATTTTCGAAAAAGAATTTTCTTTCGGTACTTGTCTGGGATAAATACCACACTTTTTTTTGGAAAAATGAAATTCTGCGAGTTTCAAGACATTCATTAGGCCCTCCACAATCACGCGTTAAGGTTTCAGATTATTCGCTGCACCCAGTTAGGAGGTTTATACATATTTTCACGTTTTGACACATTTAGAATGGCCCTTTCGTCCCACCTTAAGGGCGCGCAAATTAACATGGATCGCGCAGGGCTGCTGTCTCTTTGCGTTCGAATTTAGCAAATTCCTGCATCGGGAAGTGACGTAACTAATAAACGTCCATGTTTACGGTTCCAGACGTAGAATAATCTGCGGAAAAAGTAGGCTCGAGAAAAGCGAACGACGGAGGTAGGCGTTACTGCACCCGTGACTCGAGTAACGCGAACACGCACGACGTGATTTGTCTTAATTCAAGCAGTGCTTATGGAGCGAATTGCCGTGTCTCCCGGGCTCTTTGTGTCGCGTCTAAAGACCTAGTTTTCCCCACTTAATGCACAACCGCTTTACCGTAATAGGGCCAGTTTGACGCCGGTTGTCACTGCCATAATCGGGACCCGTGTTCACCAAGGCGGACTGCCATTTCGCGACGATTCCCACGACCAGGTGTTCCTAGAATTTTCCGCGGCATTGTCGATTCTCGGAGTAAATAGAGTTTCCAGCCGATAATGGAAACCAACATCTCGGCAATTTCCATGAGACTTAAATTAATTTACGCCACAGTACAAGAACCACACAAAATATTGATAAAATCAGATGAATTCAGGGTAAAATAATTTCCTACATAATTATTTTCATCATTTGCATCCCCAGTCGAAATTTTAGCCCTTCTTGCAGTAACCCAAGTATGACCTTTTTAGAGCCCTTTCACTCGTTTATGTCCTCCTTTCAACCTTTCACGTCCTACTTTATTCGAATTATGATCTACTTTAGACCTACAAGAAGAAGAAATGGAAATATCTGCCACTTTTAAGGTCTAAAATAGGACCTCGAACATATGAATGTATATCGTGTCAAAACCTATTTACAGCCTATAATTGGAGGTCCTGAGTAGGTTTAAAATTTCGACTCGGGATGCGACAGGGATATAATACCATGTAATGCGAAACTGTAAAGAATCAAAGAGGATCTCGCCATTTTTCTCGAAACTTTCTTTCTGGAAACGTGATAAATTATTAAGTTTTTTCTCCGATGCAGAAAGCCGATTTATTGAACACCATACAAAAACTGAATAAACACAAAGGAGTGGAATTCACGTTTTAAACTAGTGGAAATAAAGTACTAGGTGTAAAAATTAAACGTTTATCCATCCACAGTGTTTTTTTCTACGTTAAATATACATTTGCAAAAAACGTTGATTTTACGCGATAACTTTTCGATGTATTTATCCCTAATCGAGAACAAAACATGTACTTTAACGTAACGCTTTAACGTTATTTCAACGTATAGTAAACGATTACGATATTAAATTTACGATTTACGTATATTAAACGACGTTCATGTTACTCGAGTAAAACGATAGACATTTTTTTTGCAACACACTTTATACGATTACCGTCAATGGTTTTACACAATTTTTCAACGTGTCTTCCACCACTTTGTGATTATTAGGTATTGGGAAAAAATAATCGAGAGGGAAAAATGTTTGTCGAAGATCTCTATGATTCGTCCAGCAGACATAATAAGATAATAAAATTGGTAGGACGACACGAATTGACAAGGTTCAACGCATTTGACATTGACTCTGTCTACGGGGGACCACCCTGTATAACAAATCAATGAGTTTCGTCCTTAGGCAGCAAATCGTTCTATTTATCCGACCGACGCCACCGAAGATGAAGACAATCGGCGACGCAGACGTCGTCGACGTCGGTGGCAGAATTTCGCGGAATCGCCGAAACGAGGCGTTGTTGGGTGGTCAATGAAATCTAAAATCATCTCCATACACCATTCTAGATATTGATCTGCCGCCAAACGATTTGTTTTGCTTTGGCCGTCAATTTTTCTATCTAGAAAAAATGTAGAGCAATTGAAAAATCAACTAAACGGACCAAAGCGATGCAACGCTTCGAGCAACCGTTCATCAAACTGTACAGACTGTACATGATTAAATAAATAATTCTTTCGTAACAATGATTTATCAAGTTGAACATTCGAGAAAGATTCGCATCGTCCTACCTTCACCTGGAAAAAGTCATGAACAGGATTATACACACATAAACCAGAAATGTAACGAAGATGGAGAAGGTACGCACACTCATCCTTAACGCATTCCCTGATAAGACACCTGGCGATTTCAACGCCAGGTACTTCTACATCCCTAAAATTTGCAATCATTAGCACATGGAATTAACAACATCAAGAATGACCGGTACGTTCGTCGAAGAGGGCTTATCGAGTTTCCTGAGAGGTCGGTTCCACCTTAAAAATCGATTTGTCCGTCATTAAAGAATCCAAAGACAGAAAATAAATCGCACTTCAAATTGGAATTTTATTTTCCCCGTTCAATTGACCACCAGAAAAGTCCCATAAAAAAAAAACAGTGGGTAAAAGAATCAGGACTTGGTCGGCGCCATTTTTGAAAATGGGTTCAAATACAAAAATGGCAGAAAAAATTAAAAAGCAACTTCGCCGGCGATTTGTGTTCCAGCCTAACTGGAAATCCCGGTTGCAGTCAATTTCTAGGGACGACTTCGTTTGCATTGTTTCCAAGACCGAACAAGTACATGGGGCACTTTCGTCAAGATTTCCCATCGCTAAAAAAAGGCGTGCAAGTCCGATTCGTCACGCACGAATCGGAGAAAGAGTCGAAGAGCACACGTGTAACACGTTCATAAGCATGCGTCGTCTTTCTTCCTCTCTTCCCTTTTATTTCGCCGTCTCCGTCGCACCGGCACGATCCGTGCTTTACGAGTGCCCATTCCGCGGTGTACAGGGAATGGACGAGTGCTCCACACGACTGGTAGTTACACGTGTAACTACGTACCCACACCACACACGCATGTACACACACGCCTGCGTCGACCACCTGTGGTACGGCGAACCTTCCAGCGCAATTGTTACTCGATATTAATCGCCGCGAACACTTGAACCGCAGTGATCGCCTCGCCTTAATCCCTGAAATGTATTTTCGCGACATTAAGGCGATATGAAAGGCCATTCTATTTATATATATAAAACGTGAAAACATTTATAAAACTTTTCTCTAAATTTAATGTACCGAATCCTTGGAAATTTCACCATGATTAGGGAGACCCTGAAAAAAAACGCGATGTTCGCGAAATTTCATTTTTTAAAAACAAATTTTTCTTGTACGAAGGCCCTAAGAAAGAACGTGATGCTCGTGAAATTTCATTTTTCAAAATCACATTTTTACGGAGGTCCTAAGGAAGAATGCGATGTTCGTGAAATGTCATGTTTCGAAAATAATTTTTGCCTCTTGCCCAGGATGAATAAAAAATGACTTTTCGCAAAATTAAATTTCTCGGGTTTCAAGACCACGTGTTAAAGATTCAAATGATTTGGTGCAGCCAGTTTGGAGAAAAGTTTATAAATATTTTGCCGTTGTGATATACACAGAATGATCCTTGCATATCACCTTAAAAGGGTCTATCGTAGGAAAAAATAAAATTTAATGGGTCTAGGATGGAAGTACGCCGACTCAAGGATCGGGATTAAAAATGGCGGCGCAGGTTGGTCACCGCTGTCGCTCGATGTCGCGATTACATCGCGTGCGTGGTCGTAGGAACGGGCGGGATGCAGAGGCACGACGACTCGAATTGCAGTCGGACGTCGTCGCGAGGCCATAGCGAACGCGTTAATACAGATGTAAGTGGCCGCGGTACACGCGTGGATATCGCTCGTTCACGCCCACGAGACTCGTGGCGGAGAC